AATCGTGCGATATTGTTGGGGCTTTCAGCTGGTGATTTGTGGGTGCATTAGAGTGAGAGTGTGAGATTTTTTGGTGATTGTGGCATGGAGGTTCTGCTGGTGGTGATAGAGGAGTTGGTGATGTCAGAATTGGCCGAAAATGGCCTTGGAGCGACGATGGGTGAGAGGAAAAATCGCAGAAATTACGCATTCCTGCTACCTTGGTGGGTGGCAGTTAGGCAAGGGTGAGGGGTGTCGCTCCTAGTCTCTTTCATGCCGTTGCTATCGTGGCTTTGGTCCATCTATGGTTCTGATTATGGTGGCTAGCGTTTGTCTAGCTCGTAGGGGTGCGATGGACAAGCTTCCATCTTCTAAGGAGGTTTCTGATATTTAGCCGCCACAATCAAAAGTAAAAGTTAAAGGGTAGTTTAGTAATAACATATTCTATACTGTGTCAGACCCTAACAGTGTTTATTTATGGGTGAGAATCTGAAATTTATGAAACCAAGGATAGGAACCTTGGGTGGGAACATGTCGTTTACTCTAAATTATATATAAAGTTGTTTTATTTTGAAAAAAATTCCAACCCTCCCTAACATAAATTCCTGGTTTCCATCCCGATGGTGATGGAAAATGATTAATGATAATCGGTAGTTATTCATACATCATGATGATAGTTGGATAAAATAGAACGTTTGATAAATATGTGATTATATATGACATTATATCATTGAATGGTCTCATTATGTCAATAAAGTGAGATTACGAGACTGTCTCATATAAATATTTCTCAAAAATTAAAATAACATTTCTATAAGTTGCAAATAGTTCATCATGTCGCTTTAATTTAGGAAAAGACTGAGTAATTATATGTGAAGCCAATGAATACATGCATATTACTTTTCTTTCATCAATCTTATTACCTAACTATCAAGGTGATATAATTTAAAAAAAAAATGATTGCCAACATAGTAGAATTTCGTTAGCTTAGTGCATTGTATGATATCTCTATTTTACTCATATATCTCTGTTTAAAATGAATATGAAGAGATATATAAGTTTTATTTAAAATTTTAACCTACAAATTGATAGAATACAAAATAAGTGGATGAATGTACATATATATAAACCAATTTATTAGTATAAAAATAATTATACCTTATTTATTTTATATACAACTTCGTGAGAAATATTAAGATATATAAAAAAGATAAAGAAAATAAAAATGATAACAATAAAGATCGGCTCATAATCCAATTTTACAAACTCCTTCTCACAATCTTCATGTGATAACCCGTAATTGGTCAAATGAGAAAAGTCAATAGAAACTAATTACAAACTATTATATCAAGATTGTTAAAGAAAGTTTGTGAGATTAGATTATGATTATGGTATTGCCCAAATGATAAGTGAGAGAGCGAGAAAACGAGTGTAAAAAAAGTGTCTACTTAGCGGTTAGCATTCCTCGTAACTATTAGTTTAAGAATTACTTCATAACGAGTAATTTCAAAGTTATTACAACATTGAAATACTGATAAGATGAGGAAGAACTTACACAAGCATCGAAGAAATTTAATTAGTCAGATGGATATGGATATGAAGATTATGAAGCGTGGATAAGTCATAGGCCCATCGGACTCGTCATACAGAGCCTTGGTTATTCGGAGAGGTTCCATTTCCCCTACAGACTTGAAAACCATCTACATACATTCTGTAGAACATACCCAATTGCATGAAATATTCTGCGCTCAACACCACCGCGTACCCCTAAAGCATCTATTATGCGTTTACAAGCTAGGACGTAATGACATTTTTGCATGCATAAAAGCCAAAACACTTCAACAAAACTATTCACCACGTCCTGAACCATCATCAATTTTTTAAACCTATAAATACCACTCTCTGTAGTCCTCTCTCATTCACAAAAAACCTCTAGTTCTATCTACCTAGCTACTATGGGTTATTCTTCTTTGCTTTCTTTTAGTCTTGGCTTTCTTCTTCTATTTCATTGCAGTTTTGGTCAGATATAGGTTGTAAATTCACAGCAACGACAACAGCAGCAACGCTTCCAGACTCAGTGTCAAATCCAGAACCTCAATGCTCTTGAGCCCCAAAGGAGGATTGAATCAGAGGCTGGTGTTACCGAGTTCTGGGATCAGAATGAGGAACAACTACAATGCGCTAATGTTGCTGTGTTCCGCCACACTATCCAGAGCAGAGGCCTCCTAGTCCCCTCATACAACAGTGCTCCTGAGCTAATCTACGTTGTTCAAGGCAAATTCGATACTAGAGCCTTTAATATAATTACGATGTGATATACTTCTGTACTATATCTAAATATATAATGACATGATCCTTAACATATGAAAATAACATATTTGTAATGATCAATTCAGGTAGGGGCATTCATGGAGCTGTATTCCCGGGTTGTCCTGAGACATTCCAAGAAGAATCACAGTCACAGTCATGGTCATGGTTCTCAAGATCAGGAAGGAGTCAGCAATCAGGAGAACAGCACCAAAAGGTCAGGCATATCCGGGAGGGTGATGTCATTGCACTGCCTGCAGGAGTAGCTCACTGGATTTATAACAATGGCCAGTCCAAGCTTGTTTTGGTCGCGCTTGCGGACGTTGGCAATTCCGAGAACCAGCTCGACCAGTACTTTAGGGTAACAAAAGCAACATTAATTCTATCAATTTACTTAGTATATATAGCAATATTGTCTATAATTCTGTAAATTATTCTTTTTTGGTGTTATGTGTATGAAGAAATTCGTCCTCGGTGGAAGCCCACAGCAAGAAATTCAAGGTGGTGGTCAGAGCCGGAGCCGGAGCCGAAGCCAAAGCGAAAGCGAAAGCCGAAGCAGCAGAAGAGGCCAGCAAGTACAGGAAAGTAACAATATTTTGAGCGCCTTTGACGAGGAGATGCTCGCACAATCTTTCAACATTGACACTCAGCTAGTCAAAAGATTGCAGAGAGAGGAGAAGCAGAGGGGCATTATTGTCAAAGTCAAGGAGGATCTTCAAGTACTATCACCGCAGAGACAAGAACAAGAAGAAGAACAAGAATACTCCGATAATGGGTTAGAGGAAACCTTCTGCACAATGACACTGAAGCACAACATCAATGATCCATCACGTGCTGACGTCTATAACCCACATGGTGGACGCGTCACCAGCATCAATGCCTTCAACCTTCCCATCCTCAGATACCTCCAGCTTAGCGCCGAGAAAGGCGTGCTTTACAGGGTAAGAAGATAATTTAATTCATATTAGCATCTCACAGCGCGCGTGTCCAAATTATTTTAAAATTTAATTTGCTAAATTTTAGTTGCACGCTTTCAGAATGCTATCTTGGCACCTCACTGGAACTTGAATGCCCACAGCGTAGTCTATGTCATAAGGGGCAATGGCAGGGTGCAAATCGTCTCAGAGAACGGAGAATCGGTATTCGACGAGGAAATTCGTGAGGGTCAGCTGGTGGTTGTTCCACAGAACTACGCAGTGGTGAAGAGAGCAAGCAGCGAGGGATTCGAGTGGGTATCATTCATGACCAATGGACTGGCAAAGATCAGCCAGCTGGCGGGACGTGTCTCAGTGTTTAGAGGGTTACCATTGGATGTTATCGCGAACTCATTTGATATTTCCAGGGAAGATGCCTGGAGGTTGAAAGAGAGTAGGTCTGAGATGACAATTTTCGGTCCAGGGTCGAGGTCACAGCGAGAGAGTCAGAGCGAGAGGGAGAGGGAGAGCGAGAGCGAGAGGGAGGAGAGGCAGAGACAGTGAGTTAAGTGTGTGAAATAAAATATGTATGTAGAGGTTAAGAAATAAAGGCCCTAGTACGAATGGGGTTGAAGAACTAGACTGCGGAAGAGTGTACCAAAGTTTTATGGCCGACTTCAATAATGAACTAATGTTTCTTTAACAATCAGAATAAGTGTTTCATCTATGATTTATATGTAGCCTTGCTACCACTATGTTCTACAATTTTTTTTTTTCATTTTAGGGTGGAGACAAGCTTAGATAAGAAAAATTAATTAACATGGATGGTCAGAAATAGAATTTTGTGTGAATTTCAACATTTAAAACATAATATATGATTAGCTTATTAACCATACTATAAAAATAATATCCTCTAGATTTTATAATGAAACAAATGATAACTAAAAATTTATATAAAGAGATTACACATCTGTTATCCTTTATGGAAATCCTCTAATTTTGTTTTGTTATAATAACAACCAAGAGGTCAATTATTAGTATAACTAAGAAAATCAAAAAGAGAGACAAGTTAATTAAACTTCATTAATTTTATGTCAAATTAATACATAACAATACAATCAATTAATAAAATAAAGATAAAGATAAACTTACATAATATAACCATACATATATATAAATATAATGAAAGATTTGAGATAATTTATAAATGACATAGTAAAAAAAAAAATAATAATAATAAAAGGCAAGAGAATTATGCATAATTAAGGAGGGGTATTACTAGAAATTTTTAAAATAAATTAGATGGATTAAAAAAAAAAAAAAAACGTGCTAGAAGCCCCACCATGAAGTTGGTAGGCAAACTTTGAAGTTAAAGTTTGATGCTCGATAACCAACCCTTGGGTGGTCGAGTGGTTCTATAGAAACTCTTAGGTATATTATTCAAGAGGTCCTGAGTTCGAGTCTCTCCTCGGTTGCTAATAGGGTGACCATTGGAGCTCTTACCTGTTCTGTAGTTCCAGAGTCTCAAGAGATTAACTGAAATACACGTAAACTGGTCTAAATACCTCAGTTATATGAAAAAAAAAAAAAAAGTTTGATGCTAGATCCCGACACGAACCACATACAAGACACGATTAAAACTGCATTTATATAGCATCAAAGTTTCAAGTACATAATCCATTTCTCTCCTTACAAATTCAGGACTTAGCATAACAATACACCTTTCTCTAAAGAGAAATTTTATTGCGTTCAATTCCAAGCTTGACTTGAACATTTATTATCCTTCGGTTTCGGATTATTTTATTTGTCAACACCCGATGCAAATTTTGGGTGCTCCTCAAAGTAAACACGCATCTTGTCTCTGTGTGGTAGGTTATCTTTGATGACTGGATGGCTGATAAATTTGGCCATCCAAGCTGTAATGGCTGGAAATTTCTCTGGGTTCAGAATCTGCACAGACCCGACTTCTTCCAAGACGGGTAGCCAGTGAGCAATCCATCCAAATGCCAAGTCCAAATACCCAATGCTCTCTCCTTGAAATTGCTTCTTTTCTTTCAGCGCTCCCTCTATCTTTTCCAATGCTTCTATTGATTCTTTCAAAGCCGTCTCTTTTAACTCTCCTTTGGACCACATTACAGCCCATGCAGCATCCATAAGCTAAACCAAAAATAACAGAACGGTCATAAAATTATATACGGATCATTTCTTAAAAATTATATTTTCAATTTTAATGAGATGTAAAATTAACAACAATATGAATAAATAGAAATAGTTACCTTCTCTTCAGCAAATTTAGCCCAGAAACGTGCCATGGCTCTTTCATAAGGATCTTTAGGCAGCAAGGGATTTTGTTCCCAAGTCTCATCGACATACTCAAGAATAACAAAAGACTCAGAGATGACTTTGTTATCATGAACAAGCACAGGAACCTTCTTATGAACTGGATTCAGTTCCAGTAGCATGGAGCTCTTGTTAAAGATATCTTCTTCAAAGTAGTCGTAATCAACACCTTTCAGCTTCAAGGCCCATTCTACTCGAAATGAAAAGGGGCTACACCAGAATCCCAAGAGCTTCACTTGTGTTGCCATTTATAATTTTGCTGCTTCTGTTAGTGAGTAGCCTAGTGCTATATCCAGACACTTATATGCAAAAGTTACCAGACGGCAATTTTGACCAATTGAATATTAAGATTAATTTATGGCGGCGTGTGGAAAACATTACACCTTTAGATAAATAAAAGTCTTCTGCGACGAACCAATTAGGTGTCCAAACGTATCGAGATTCGAGACTCTCCAATGTGATAACGACATGTGTGGTTATATATTTATAAAATTCTTTCTTTGATTTATTTATAACTATAATTTATTTATTATCATTCATTAACAACTGTCATTATAAAATGTGGCTTTCATACTCAATAATAGATGTCTTTGTTTAATTAGACAGTCTCACCACAACAAAGTCAAATGGTAAGATTGTCCACATTTTAATATTTTTCATAGTTTAAAAAATATTAAAATTTAAAATATAAACAAAATAAGTTAGCATTGCGACTAATGGCCAAAGACAATGCCAACGTCACTAGCTTTGAATGGACCAAATCGAGGCTAGGCCAAGTCATCGCGTTGCCTCGGTCTAGCTTACATAAACTAGATCAAGGCTAGCCTAATTAGAGTAGTCATCTTATCGATAGTTTTAGGGTTTTAAGAGATTAATCGAAGTATGTACATATAAATTAGTCTTAACATTCCTGATTATTAAAAAAAAAAAAATTAAGGGTATAAAATAATTTTATACCCTTATATAAAACCAAATAACACTAATTATTGATTAAGGTTCTTTGAATTTTGTGTACTTATTTTTTGATAGTTTCGAAAACATTGTAATTTAATAGATAGTTTTCCAAAAGAAGACGAACCTCCTTGGTCCTAACTCATCATTAAGATTTTATTTATTTTGTTCTGAGCAGAGCCGTCTCAAGAACATTTGTGACCCTAGATAAGAGTTACTTTGAGGCATTTTTAATAATATAAGCATATATTAAAAAATTATTTTAAATTTATTTTTCTTGTCTTTTGAGATGCAAAATCATCAATTAAATTTTTATATTTAAGTTTAGAAACCAATTTTTTTCAATTGATAACATAGCCAAATTACCTAATCTTTCTTGTGAGGGCGAGAGGTGGATGGCGGGCTACCGGGACTAGGTAAGTGAGGGGTTTTGGGGAGGGGGCTGAGGGGACGAAGATGTTGGTGTCGGGGAAGGTCAACGACAGCGGATACGTGCCGAAACTGTCGCAAGCGGTGAAGAATGAAAATGGGTTGCGAAAATCAGCAAAAATTAACCAAATTGGGGGTTGTCAAGGTTGTGAAAACGTTTTAGAAATGATTAAGCGATGAATCCGATCAATTTTGGAGAGAAAATTGACCGGAATCATCACTGCAATGTCAACAGCGACACTATGGCGGTGTAGAGGAGTGGAGATGCAATGTTTTCATTATTTTAGGGATCAAATGGGTGTTTTAAAATTTTAGACATTTAAATAACTAGTTTAGTTAAATTATAGGTGTGAATGGAAAATATGAAATATGGTTTTTTTTGTAAATTTACGTAAAAAAAAAGTATAATGAATTTGGACTTTTCTGGCTTTTTTGGGGCCCTTTGGATTAGTTTTGATAAAAAATTAATTTTTTTTAGACTCAATAGTATTTCTGTGAATCTATTTAAAAAAATTTTAAAAAAAATTTGGACTCTTTTTTGGGGCTTTTTTTTTTTTGGAGCCCTAGGCAGGTGACTTGCCTGCCTACCCCTTGGGCCGGCTCTGGTCCTGAGCTCGACCTCTTTGTTATATAACTATAAATTTAAGCCGAAACAACAATATAAATTCTTAAACTTTTCTAACATGAGACTGAAGTTTCCATGTGGTTAGCATTCACTTCTCACAAAACCATATCAGGAATATATTTTATATTTTTTTCTTTTATTTATCTTAATCAATTTATTAGTAGTTAATGAAATTAAAATTTCACGTGGAAATAGAAGTTGACGGTGCGCTGTTGAAGGTTAAAATTGATGTAAGATCACGAAGTTGAAGGGAAGATCTCATCTAAGTTTGATACAACATAAGTCTTTCTTGAAATTCATATAATTGTACAACATCCCTTTCTTTCAATAATAATACAAGTTCATTGCATTTCAAGCTTTGTATAGTCCTTTTCATTGACTGAAAATATTAATTAATTTTCCCTTTGCTTTGGGTAATAGCTGTTATATCTGGCTTCCCTTTTCTCGTCAAAGTAAACAACCAGCTCGTCCCACGGTGGTAACTTGTCTTTAATCACTGGGTGGCTGAGAAACTTGCTGATCCAAGATGTAATCGCTGGAAATTTCTCTTCCTTCAAAAGCTGCATAGACCCAACTTTTTCCATAACGGGTAGCCAGTAAGCGATCCACCCAAGTGCAAGATCCAAATACCCAATCCCCTCTCCTTCAAAGTACTTCTTCTCTTTGAGCTCTTCCTCGATCTTTTCCAAGGCTTCTATTGATTCTTCAACTGCCTTCGCTTTTTCCTCTCCTTTCAACCACGTTGCCTTCCATGCACTCAATAGCTACACCAAAACGCACAAAGTACAACAAAATAATAGTGAGCAAAAATGCAGTATAACAGAGGAAAACAGATGAACAGAATTATTTACCTTTTCATCTCCATATTTGGCCCAGAAACGTGCCATGGCTCTTTCACGAGGATCTTTAGGCAGCAGTGGATTTTGTTCCCAAGTCTCATCGATATACTCGAGAATAACATGCGACTCAAGGATTACTTTCTTGTCATGAACAAGCACAGGAACCTTCTTGTGGATTGGGTTCAGCTCCAGGAGCCTTGTGCTCTTGTTAAATATATCTTCTTCTAAGTACTCATAATCAACACCCTTTAGCTTCAGTGCCCATTCTACTCTATACACATATGGGCTAGTCCAAAACCCCAAGAGCTTCACTTCTTTTGCCATACTTTTCCTGCTTCTGTTGGTGAGGTGCCAGTGCTATTTCTGTATTTTATACAGATAAATCGTCCGTCTTTAGAAATTATATAAAGCTAGAGTCAGAAGCAAATTTTGACTGGTAAAGTAATGAATGATCTGCTTGGAGCACAAGCCGCGTCTATACTTTGAAAATTCTTAAAGAAGATGGTGTAGATTTGCATAAAGAATGTTAACAAGATTTTCAAAGGGCATCGGAGATTGATTCACTGTAAAATAGCAATTTTATGTTGACTTGAAGGGGATGTATTTGGTGATTCACCATTTTAATATGAGTAATGTTATAGTTACCAAAAAGAGTATATCGAATGACGTGATAAAATCTTGATCGTCGATTAATATTAATTTATAATTAATCAATGGTTAGTATTACGTCACGTTATTTGGTGCATGAATTCAGTATACTCCTTTTGATAATTGTATTATTTTCCTTATAAAAAACTTTTTTAAAACAACATTTTCGTCCTATTCTTTTGTATTCAAACAAACGTGTCTTTATTTTTGTTATCAAAGTTCTCTAATGGATTTCACTACATTACACGGTGGATGCCGGCAAAAGTAACCCTGTTTTGATGGGTCAATGAAAATGACTTGACATTGTATTGTAAGGAATACTTCTTGCTTTATTTTATGGAATGAAAATTAACAAATAGATAAGCAAACAAAAGACTCTTTTAAATTAGGATGTTCGTTGACTGAAAACAAGAAACTAATTACTTAATTATAATATGTACAAATTAATCAACTAATTAAACTATATCTTAACAAAAAATTAATAAAAAAATTAATAAAATATTTCCAATTGAAGATTCTAGTGCGAAATAGAAAAGGAAATGCAAAAACAAGAAATGTTCTAGAAAATGTAGCTCAAGCTGAAGATAACTAAAACTGAATTTTTCTGTATTGAATGAATAAATGTACAAAAACAGAACAATTTGTTCTTTTATAGACAAATACAAAACTCACCATTTAGTCACTACTTTTAAACTTTACAAAACACACCATACCTAACATAACTTGTAATCTGTACATAAACAACCTTGCATACTAAACCTTATACTCAATATTCTCCCTTAAACCAAAGTACTATAAAACCTTGCTTACTCAACCATACCTTATACTTAATATTCCCTCTTAAACTAGAATACTATAAAACCTTGTTGACTAGACCTGACCACCTTTTTTTTTGTTTTTTGTTTTTTTTACTAAAAAAGGCTATAAGCTTTTATCAACTCCTCAAACCAATCAAAAGATTGCATAAACTTCCATTTACCAACAGCAGATGCATGGACCAGCAGCAACAGCTACAAACCAATAAAACTCCTCAAACCAGCATTGAGTAGCAGCAGCAAATGCATTTACCAGCAACAAAATTGCAAACCAACAAAAAAATGCAAACCAACAAAACTCCATACAACTGCATTTACCAAACTGCATTTATCACAACTTCATCTCCCAAAAATGTATTTATCAGCAGCAGACCATATCAAACCACATCAGCAGATACCAAACTCATATAAACATACATCAAAGTATCAGATTGCCAAAAAAAGCTGTATTTACCAGTAGCAATTCACTAGTAGACCATTCTATCATACTTCAGTACAACACAAGAAGCTACACAACTTCTCACAACTCCTTAGTACTCCAACTACCAAACTATTACTCAACTCTATTACTCCAGTTTAGTGTTCTGCTGAGCAGCATAATCCGATAAACTTGAAACAGTAAAACTTGCAACTTTAATGGTAAAACTTTCAATTTAATCTTCATACATGCTCTCACTAGGAGGAAGTTCTGATGTAACATTTAGCTTCTCCCTTAACATGAAAAATCTGGAACAAGGGAGGGCCTTAGTCAGGGCATCTGCAATCTGATAGGCAGAAGCAATATACTGCACATGTAACAACTTCCTGGTAACTAACTCTAACAAAGTTGACATCAATCTCAATGTGTTTTGTCCTAGCATGAAATACTGGATTAGAAGATAAGGCTCCAGCACTCATGTTATCACACCAAATGATGGGTGTTTTACTTATGTGAATGCCCAATTTTGCAAATAAATTTTGA